CGACATAATGAAATTTTTATCCTATATCCTGTCCCATATGCCAAAAGTGTAATGTCCCAAACGGGGCCACGACGCTCCACACACACACACACACACACACATATATATATATGCGCACAATGCAGAGAACGGAATCCAAAAGCTAAGGAGGGGTCCGTATACAATGCTCATCAGGCAATGAGCACCCAGTGCTCATCACCTGATGAGCCATCTGGGCCGTCCAGATCTAATCTGGACGGTCCAAATTTAATATTTTTAAATAATTATTTTAAAATAGAAAAAAATATATTTTTAAAGAATGATAGTTAGGAGATTATCTTTATTTTTAATCTTATACCTATTAAAATAATTATTTTTAAAAAAATAAAAATAAAAATAAAATAAAATCTGGACCGTCCAGATCAGATCTGAACGGTCCAAATCTAATGAGCATTGGGTGCTCATCAGTTTTGATGAGCACCCAATGCTCTCCGGCTAAGGAGGGGGCTGAGTCCAGAAATCAAGATTAATAAACCAAAACCCATAAATCCATAAATCAAATAATAGGAAATCATAGCACATATATTCTTCTTCTCAAAATATGAGCCAGAAATATTAAAAATATTGTGAGATCTACGAACCCGTGCTTGCTGTTGTCAAATCTAGGTGCTCATGTGCGGGGAAAGAATTGTCTGTCCAAGAAAGATTGCCAGAAAGTTTATTATTGGGTTATTATGTAATTTTAGGATCTAAATATTGTAATTTAGAACAATGTTTTTTTCCCTAGTATGCGTGGAGATCAAGTCTAAGCATACCTATTCCAAGTCCCAACGGCTATATTTCATTTTGGAAATTGAGCTTTTTCCCCTTTTTCTTTGGTCATGCTTTTGGAAAATTATTACGGATATAATATTAAAAATCTTTTCTAGATTTTATTTTCAACGGCTAATATTTTCCACAGCCATCTATTATTAATTGCTGATTTGCGGCATGGATATACCAATCTGCTTTCAACAGCTATAATTCATATTTTTGGCCAACGACTATAATTCATTTTATAAATTGATTATATTTTTTCCTTTTAACAATGTTCAAAAGTCTTTTCCAGATTTTATTTCCAACGACTACTATTCTCAATGAACGCTCTCTAGTCAGTTCATTCTATTTAACCCCAGGAGCGTAAAGGAAACCGTTTGGTGATTTCGAAGAAAAACTCTCTAAGGAAGCCCCAATGAAGAAGCATCGCAGAGCAGAGGTATTCTTTTGTGCCCTTTTATTTTGATGCTTCAGTTTGATGTGGATGATGCACTTGCTTCTCTGCCATGGCTACTGTGGTAGTCCGACTTGCTCCTAAGGATTTCATTCTACATGTGTTTCGAAGTTTCTTCATAAGTGGGATTTTCACTGCTCGGCTAATTTTATCATACTGAGCCCGAACTATTCTTATCGCTCTGCTTTTCAAATCATTTCTTGCAGATTCTTTTATGGTTTTGAGGGTTTATGAGCATCTCATGTATAAACATTTTAGTGGCAGTATGGCTTGGTTCCATTATATAGGCCTCCTAATGTTAACGCAATATTCACCTGTAAAATTGCTTTCTCTATGCCTTTTGTAGACATCTAAATTACAGTGCGACATTGTTTTATTAACTTGAAAATAAGTCATAAGACCACAAGAGGCGTGGGACCACTGTTAGCTGCGATCGTCTAATGAGAATCAGACAGCGACCATTGGGCATTTGGACATCGATAAGCGTAGGGCGATCCTATAGAAAGAAAGGATCAACAAAGCAGATAACAAGAAAGTGAACTTGGGTCTGTGGCTGTTTTGGTGTGTTTTATGCACTATGGTCCGTCTCTTTTTGCTCACTTGTGTCCCCAAGTCTATCTACATTCATTTGTAACTAAGTATACATATTATATATATATGAGTCCTTTTGTTGATTTTTTTTGTTATTTTGGATGCTATGTCAATATTTGAATGAATATTTAGTTGCGAATGAATGTATACTCATCAATGTATACTTTCTTATAACAGACCCTTAAACCCAGGATATCAGTTTTCACATGTACTAGACCAAAAGATTTCTTTGTTTTTTTTTTTTATTTGGTATCGATCGTTGACTAAGTTTTTGGAATATCCAAGAATGGCAGTTTGCTAAGAGTAGTCGTAGTCCAATGACTCTCTCTCTCACTATCTTTCAATTTCAGGTGATAGCTGGAATCATTAATATCAAATAAAAAAGGAAGAGAATGATGTAAAGATTTTTATTATATTTTAGGATACAAGTTTGGGGTCTTTCGCGAGGCTCTCACCAACTCATCTACCACAAATAAAAAAAATATGGACTATCCACATTGAATTTGAATTATTTAAAGACAAATTTAGGGGGAAAAATCCCATTAAAAATTTTATTGGCGAGGATAATCTAAAACCAAATTCTGATAATCTATATGTATAAAATTTGTAAGAGTATCGAAACTTTTCGTATACGTAGATGCCTGCAAGTTGCAATGAGATGAAAATTTATGTTTACTTGGAGCTGCTTAATATAACAAAAATTTACGTAAATTAGAACAAAACTTATATTACATACGTATTTTATATTTCATAAATTATGATTGGAAAACTATTTTTAAATATTTTAATGGTCATTCCAAATAAGTTCTACAAAATAGCCAGTTTGGCAAAGTGATAGGACAGCAAACAAGACCCATGTCTTAGGAGTTCCTTTCCATTTGAGAATTCTTTCGCCCCTTACTACTGTCAAAGGGTTTATTTGAAATGACTTATAAATAGTTTTTTAATGGTAATTTGTTAAATACGAGAAAAATACGTGACAAGAGTTTTATCTTGACTTACATAAAAACACTTATAAGCAATTACAAACTGCTAATCCAAACAAGCCTAAAAGCGAAGCTTCCACGCCACAAGCAGTGGAGAGTAGCATGGGTTTAAAGGAATTTTCAAGCCCTCCTTCAAAACCACTTCACCACTGTATTTTTTTTCCAATTTTTTTGAGCGCCAACTATATTGCTGTATTATCTTCTTTATAAGGTATTTTAATATATTTTATCATAATAAAAAATCTTAAACATCATTAACCATATATTAAAATTTAATAACTTTTTAATTCTACTTAATTTAATACTTGTATTTTAATAAAATAGTAGTTTACATAATAATAGATTAAAAGTAAAATCATACATTTATGATTTGTATAATAAATTTAGGAAATTTGGTTAAAAAAAAATCTCTGTGTAAAAACTTAATGGGATAAAAAATCCTAAATTTAAGTACGTGCAATCATGATCTGTGAGTGTAACTTTTCTTCTGTTGTCAGTAACATATCTTTCACTGTATGCAAATGACTTCTATATTGATGATTGTTGCACATCATTGGTGATATGTTGCACATAGCAGAAAAAAGTTGTACCCACTCAAATTTAGGTTCTCTTAGCCAATTAAGTTTTCAAACAGAGATTTTTAACCAAAATTTTCATAAATTTAATATCCAGGAAAAAATTTAATAAGACGACTTGAATGCTCTCTCTACCGAATAATAGACCAAAAAGAATGCTTTCTCTACCTTACAAATCAAACCAATATATATATATATATATATATATATTATTTTGACCAGATAAGTATATGGTCCATAAAAGCTAAACATATATTATTTTGACCAGATAAGTATGTGGTCCATAAAAGCTAAACATGGCCAGATTTTCAGAGTTGAAGACTAACCAAGGTTGGAAAATAAAAAACAGTATTGTAAACACAATTGTTAGGGCCCTAGCACATACCCAAAAAGAATCTAAAGCCTAAAATGATGTGGCTTTCCCCTAGCACACAGCAGGACGTTCTTAGTGGATAGTTTATAAGTACTTTTGTAAGCGTTTCATGAGTTTGGAGGCCTGCCCTAGTCCTATGAGTTCTCAAGACCCAATTCACATAAACTTTTTTATAGCAAAATAAAAAAAATACTCATACAACATCATACTTGATTTTTATGAATGGTATCTTAATTTTGGATCCCATGATTGTCTGGAGCAACTTAATATAAGCACTTGTGAATACTTTTATGTAAATTGAGATAAAACTTTACGTACATACTTATTTCGTATTATATAAATTATGATTGAAAAGTTACTTTTAAATATTTGAGTTGCCATTCCAAACAAGCTTGGATCCTTCTTTTATACTTTGCCCTAGAATGACTTTGAATTTTTCCAAATTAAGTTGGAATAGCTTATAATAAGCAACTTTTCAATCGTAATTTATGACAAAGAAGATAAATATGGGAAAAAAATTGTCTCAACTTATATGAAACTTATAAGTACTTTTGAAGGTGATTTCAAACAGACCATAAATCAATAATTTAAAATAAAAGTTACAGAACAAAGTTATATTTTCTCTAACACAGTAACACTAGTCCAAAAGCTTTGCTCCGAGACACTTCTACTCATTAAATATGCATTAATTGTATTTTTTGGAAACAAATAATTGTAACAAAAATATGCTATTCCGCTATTGTGTCAACGGCCTTGGTCCTTGTGGCATAATAATGGCATACAAACATCTTTGTAAGTAAGTTGAGGAAAAAATTTGACTGAATTAAAAAACATAACCTAAATAATTGAACTAAATAGACTACAAATTTTGACTCAGTTTTGTCTTTCATATATGAACCCATCCATTTTGTGTTCAGAAAATTCAAAATTGTTCTTTGTAAAAAGTTATTACTAGTTATGACATTCAATTCAATATGAAACATAATTGTGTGAAAGAGTATAGCACAAATATTTAATATATTAATCACGAGTAATTAACTATATTAAAAATGAGAGAATCGATGAACTTGAACATAGATATATTTATATTCTTATTTTCATTCATAGTATATAAGTCAATTACAATAATCGAAATTATTATTAGAAAACATCTATAAAAGCAAGTTCAAGGTGAACATTTATTACATTCAAAGCACAAGTCCAGAAGTATGATTCCTGATTTAAAGCTATACCTTAACTACAACAGCGTAAGGTTTGGTAGCCGACCCAATCCACAATTTCCCATAATGTTCTTTCACTTCGCTCACAGACTCAAGCTCTGGACCTCCTCTTCCATCCAAAACCTCCAAAGTCTTAGCCTTCTCATCAAACTTCACTCCCACAGGGTCATCCCCTAAACTCTCATTAGTATTAGCATTTTCCGATGATGTTCTGTTACTGTTCAGACCCACCCAGAAGTCCCCATTTTTCTTTCTCTTGATGTTATCTGGTGGCCTTTTAAGTTGTGTAAAGAGTTCTGAGGTGTAATTCTTGGAGCCTTTGAGCCAGAACTTTGTAATCTTTCTTGAACTTGTTTCTGCTACCAGAAGGAATGAGCCATCCTTGTTCAAAGCCACACCATTTGCAAATGCCAAGCCTTTCAGCAAGATCTCTACTTTCTTAGTTTTCGGATCATATTTCAGCAATCTTCCTGTTTTATCTCCTTTTTGGAATATCATCTCAACTTCCCTATCGCAAAGAGGAAAGTAATTACAATGATTACATTAAGTTTCTCTGATTTTTTCCTCAATTATGCCTATATAATGATGAAGAGTCTATAAGAAAATTCTGTATTTGGATCTTGGTATATGGTTATGATTATAATAAAAACCACAATGCTTAAATAAGCCATTTGGGCAACACAAAAAGATAACATACTTTGAGACATTTATATGAGATTTCGACGAACAAATGTATAAGGTATTAGGGAATATAAAACAAAAACACCACCCTTAGCTCATCTCTCCTCGCTCAAGCAAGTCTTGGCTTTATTTCCTCCATTGTTCATCAATCCATTAATTCGGTGAAAAACATTTCATCATTTCATGATCACCAAATACATCCAAAGGTTACATTTATCTCGATGACGTATATCCGAATATTTAATAAGATACATGACTTTTGGCCTAGTATCTTTGTTTAATCATATGTGGATAGCGAACACAACTGCGATTTTGCAATATTTAAGTAGACTTTATATAGCGACGTTTAATTGTGATCATATTCCATCATATGGTTATAAAACCCTTGTTAATTATTCATATACCTTTAATGTAAAATATGCCTTTTCCTATCATAAGCGTCATCTAAAATGAAGTTTAGCCAATCTTTTTTTTTTTTTTTTTGGGGTCAAAGAAGTTATCACATCTAAAAGCTCATATATATGGTGTTATGATAAGTACATGTTCAAAAAAAAAAAAACTTGGGTTCAAAGATTAGTGGATTAGAAATGAAAGCCTTTTAAACTTTTAAACCCCACTTTACTTGTGAGGCTTGCTGGCATGAGACTTCTATCAAATAGCTATGAAGATAAAGAAGAATATACCTTCTTTGGTAAACGGTGCTGCTTTCTGAGAAATAAACCACACCTGTTAGGCTATCAACATCTAAGCCGTTAAGGAATTTGAAAGGAGCATCGCCATCGTAAGCAGAAATGGCTAGTTGTTTGGCCACACCACCACTAGGCGCGACCATTAGTAGCCCAAAGTACGCATCTGCTATATAAAGATTACATGTTTTCCTGTCAAATTTGAGTCCTAATGGGCTCCCACAAGTAGCCTCCTTGTTTGGATCTGTGGATCCATCACATAGTTTCCTATCCCTATAATCAAACATTTGAAAAATGCTTAGGTAGAAAAGCCAAAATTTCAAACTAAGAAACGCAGACTTCTACACAAACCAGCTAAGCCCAATATAGTTATGAGGTTTCTGCAGATCATCAATATCACATATCATATTTTTGAGTCAGAATTTTATGAATAGCTTTAAATTCTGAAGTTGGAGATTCTTGCCTGTTTGGTGAGCTGACAGCAAACTCAACCCATCCTTTCTGAGTTCCTTGCCATTTGAGAATTCTACCATCTGATATACCAGAATATGGCCCCTCTCCGATACAGTCAAAGGCGAAGCTTTCAGGACCTGAAGCGCTGGGGAGTCTGACTTCAATGGAGTTTTTCAAGCCATCCTTGAAAATCACTTCACCAGAAGCGAAGGTCAAGGTTGCTGAAAGTGAGACTAACAGAAGGAAAAAGAAAACTGAGGAAGAAGAAGAAGAAGAAGGCCCCATGGGTTAGAGTGATGGAGAGATCATCGAGAAATAAAGCATAGATATTTATATATGTGTGTGTGATATTGGAATGGGTGTCTTCCTCTCCCTCCTTGTCCTTTCGTCAGCGTGGATCAAAATTTTAATTGTTTAGATTTAACATTTTAAAAAACCATTTTCATAATTTTACATAGAAAATATATAAATAAATTGAAATTGCTGAATTTTAGTTTAAATAGTTCAAAACTATATATAGACAGTTTGATACTGTAGTGAAAAAAATAAAAAAAAATCTTTATAAGATCTTTCAATAATGTTCTATAATTATCATCTGTTGAAATTAGAATTTTAATAGTTTGAATTTATTTATATAAAATCATAATAATAATTTTATACTACCTCCGGTTTTTAGTATAAGACCTTGTTTGACTTTTATTTTGATCCTAAATATAAGACCCCAATCCATTTTGTCTTTCATATTTATACTTTTTTTTTCCAAAGTAGCCCTTCTAACAATGATAGTTCTAGTCAATACACTTGATTAGCAAGGATATTTTAGGAAAGATAACACCTATTTAAAATAAATAACTAACTCAATTTACCTCTTTAATCTCCTCAAATTAGTCAACTGGTTCTTATGATTAGAACCGGAGGTAGTATAATATTAAATTTAAACAACTAAAATTTTGATCCAATAGTAGTTAAAAAAAATTGCAAAGGAATTAACTACTCACTCTGAAAAGTTTATTAGTGAAAGATTGAAGTCAAATGATCTTGTTTATTTGCTGCTTCCACATGTCAAATAGATGATCTATCTATTTGTAAACTGTAGATTAAATAATACTATCTCCGGTCCTTAATATAAGATCTTATTTGATTTTTATTTTGGTTTTAAATATAAGACCCTAATCCACTTTGTCTCTCATATTTATACTTTTTTTTAAAGTAATTCTTCTAATAATAGTAGTTATAGCTAATACACTGGATTAGCAAGGATATTTTAGGAAAGACAATATCTATTTAGGACAAATAACTAACTCGACTTATTTTCTTAATCTCCTCAAATTAGTTAATTAGCTTTTATAATTAGGATAAGAGGTAGTATGTTTGACTTGAGAAAGATGAGGCTTTTGTTACCATTTGCATCTTATATCTAATTTTTGGTCCATTTATTATAATTTAAAATTGGACAATATTGAATCTTTATAACTTTCTAACATTATTTGCTCATGCCGGCATTAGATACGTTGACATAGTCTATTTAGTTAGTTGTGTTAATTAAAGATTGTGATTTGTCAATTTGTGACAGCGGCGTTATGAATTGCAGCTGCTTTTCTATGGAGTGTGTGTCTGTGTATATGTATATATATATATATATATAAAGGTGGTTTACTGTCAAAATTTTCAATATATTTTCATTCTCAAAAGCCTGAAGTTTGACTATTGCATTTTCTTAATATTATTATAATTCAAATAAAGTAAGCCCTACGTCAGCATACCCAAGTGGCTCCACAGCCAGTGGAGGAAAAATTTTCTTACCGTTGACTGATAAAAGGCCTAATGAAGTAATTAGCGTGTTCATGTCATGGGATGAGTTTGGGGCCACCATGTCATGTTTCCGTCTGGTTTAAAAAAGAAAAAAATGTCATGTTCCGGTCTTGATAATTGGGATGGAACAGTTTTTCTATCTGTATTCTTTTACGTTCAAATAGCGTCCTATTCCATTAGACTATCTATCTTTTTTTTATAAAAAAATTTAAATTAACTTTTTTTAATTTTTTATTTCAAAACCACATATATTTGGAGCATAGAATCCCATGGTAAAACTTATGTGAAAATAGAAAAAAAAAGGATAAAAATTGACAGTAATAAAAAATTAACAAAAAATATTTCTTTTTGAAAGACAGTAAACATGTAAGCTCAAAGTATTCTCTAAAAAAACATTATATAACTCATAAAAAAACTTATAAATTGTGAACAACATAATCATAAAAATTATAATATTATTATATTAATGATAAATAATTTTTTTTATAAAATTAAAAAAGATAATTTATGGTAACAAAACTAGGATGAGACATCCCGTCCTATGTCCAATCTCATTTTGGATATTTTTGTCCTCTATTATGTTTATTTAGTCTAGAAAATTTTTGGAATGGGATTGTTTTGTCCCAAAATAATTAGAACTAGGACGAGATTCGAATGAGTACCCAGAAAAGTAATAATGAGATTTTGATGGATTCCATCGATTTCATTATTTCTCTCTTTTTAAAATTACCAAAGACTTTCAAACATCATAAATATTAACTAAAAACTCACTATTATATTAAATAGTTTAGGTAAAAGTATATATACCTTTGATTCTTTACTTTTAATTCCTGAAGGTTTTAATTTAGTTACTTAACTTTAAAAATTATATTTTTAATCAATCAACCATAAAAGTGTTGGTCTCAAGATGGGTTTATTAGTGGGCTATTATGTAATTTTTGGATCTAAATATTGTAATTTAGAAAAAATGTTTTTTTTCCTAGTATGCGTGGAGATCAAGCCTAAGCATGCCTATTCCAAGTCCCAACGGCTATATTTCATTTTGGAAATTGAACTTTTTCCCCTTTTTCTTTGGTCATGCCTTTGGAAAATTATTACGGATATAATATTAAAAATCTTTTCTAGATTTTATTTGCAACGGCTAATATTTTCCACAGCCATCTATTATTAATTGCTGATTTGCGGCATGGGACATACCAATCTGCTTTCAACGGCTATAATTCATATTTTTGGCCAACGACTATAATTCATTTTATAAATTGATTATATTTTTTCTTTTTAACAATGTTCAAAAGTCTTTTCCAGATTTTATTTCCAACGGCTACTATTCCCAATGAACGCTCTTTAGTCAGCTCATTCTATTTAACCCCAGGAGCGTAGATGAAACTGTTTGGTGATTTCAAAGAAAAGCTCTCTAAGGAAGCCCCGAGGAAGAAGCATTGCAGAGCAGAGGTATTCTTTTGCGCCCTTTTATTTTGATGCTTCAGTCTGATGTGGATGATGCACTTGCTTCTCTGCCATGGCTATTGTGGTAGTCCGATTTGCTCCTAAGGATTTCATTCTACGTAAGTGGGATTTTCACTGCTTGGCTAATTTTATCATAGTGAGCTCAAACTATTCTCATCACTCTGCTTTTCAAATCATTTCTTGCAGATTCTTTTATGGTTTTGAGGGTTTATGAGCATCTCATGTATAAACATTTTAGTGGCAGTATGGCTTGGTTCCATTATATAGGCCTCCTGATGTTAACGCAATATTCACCTGTAAAAATTGCTTTCTCTATGCCTTTTGTAGACATCTAAATTACAGTGCGACATTGTTTTATTAACTTGAAAATAAGTCATAAGACCACAAGAGGCGTGGGACCACTGTTAGCTGCGATTGTCTAATGAGAATCAGACAGCGAGCGTAGGGCATTTGGACATCGATAAGCGTAGGGCGATCCTATAGAAAGAAAGGATCAACAAAGCAGATAACAAGAAAGTGAACTTGGGTCTGTGGCTGTTTTGGTGTGTTTTATGCACTATGGTCCGTCTCTTTTTACTCACTTGTGTCCCTAAGTCTATCTACATTCATTCGTAACTAAGTATACATATTATATATATGAGTCCTTTTGTTGATTTTTTTGTTATTTTGGATGCTATGTCAATATTTGAATGAATATTTAGTTGCGAATGAATGTATACTCATCAATGTATACTTTCTTATAACAGACCCTTAAACCCAGGATATCAGTTTTCACATGTACTAGACCAAAAGATTTCTTTTTTTTATTTTATTTGGTATCGATCGTTGACTAAGTTTTTGGAATATCCAAGAATGGCAGTTTGCTAAGAGTAGTCCTAGTCCAATGACTCTCTCTCTCACTATCTTTCAATTTCAGGTGATAGCTGGAATCATTAATATCAAATAAAAAGGGAAGAGAATGATGTAAGGAAGTGGGCAAATAGCAGTGCCTCCAGGGTTCTGGTTGCACCCAATAGATGAGGAGTTTCTTTACTGTTATCTGAGGAAGAAAGTCTCTTTTGAAGCCCTTAGCTTTGATGTCATTTGAGAAGTTGATCTCAACAAAATAAGCTTTGGGATCTCAAAGGTGTGTGTATATATATACATCAATATATTCACATATGCGTGTCCATATAACATTTACCTCTATCCAAAAATCAAATTCACTGTAAATCATTGTCAGGCTAGCTTTTCTTCTCACATATTTTTGGTCATAGTAATGGTGATGTGGTTTGCTTGAGTAAACCCAAAAAGCATATCATTGTTGTTCCCAACATATATATTCATTCTGCATGCATTGATATATTAATTTACTTTCTATGTTCGATGAGGTTCTCAGTTTGTTCAGTCCAATGTTTCATTTTGCATTATACCATATATATAATGATGTGTGATTCATATATTGACAACTAAAAGTGGTTGGAAAAAAAAAAGAGTGACTGCAAATACGTTTTGCAGATCAACCCCTGTTTTTCATTGCTTGCATCTTTCTCCACTGACTTCATCTTTCCTTTTT